GTGGCCTGATGGCAGCCCACAGGCCAAACATGAGGCTCTGCAGGACTGTCTCCTGTGGGGAGGTTCTGGCTTCACATCCGGAGAGCTCCCGGAGTACCTGGGGTGTCTAAGTGCCCAGATCCAGGACCGGCAGGGGCTACAGTTGGATCCAACATCGAGGCCTTGTTGGGAGAGCTTCCTGTCTCTCCCTCTCTCTGTCTCTCTTGCTCAAGGAAGAAGTGAGTTTTTTAAAAGAATTATTTTTTATTTAATTTTATTAATGGTCATTATTTTATTTTATATTTTGAAGTTGACCAGAGAGAGACAGAGAAAGAAAAGGAAAGTAAGAAAGTAAGCTGCCAGATCCGGGACTCGAACCACAGTCAGCCATGTGGGAGTCCAGCTGCCTTAACCACTAAGCCACCCGCTGGCCCCAAAGTAAGTGACGTTTCATTTTTAATTTGCCAAGAGGCGCAGACACTCACCAGGAAGAGCTTGGGAGGGAGAAAGCAGCGCGCATGCACGCGGTCACACTGCAATCCCTGCTCCTCCATTCTCCATCCCGTGGGGATCCGGGACACACACAGACACCCGGCCTGTCCGTCAAGCTGCCAGGCCAGGTTTCCAGCCCCACAGTCAGTCACATGGGCTCCCTTAACCACCAGGTCTCAGGGCCAACTCAATAAATAAAAGCATTAAAAATCATTACAAAAAGAAAAGGGGCCGGCTGGTAGCGTGGTGATTAAAGTGACTAGATCCCACATGGCTAACCGCACGGTTCGAGTCCCAGACCTGGCAGCTTAAGAAATATGTGAAGTGCATGTGCATGCCTAAAATCCCGAGAGAATGGAGGAGAAAGGATTATAGCATGGCCATCCCCCCTGGGGGTGACCTCTCACTTTCTCTGTGTCTCTCTCCAGTGAGCACCTGTGCCCTATAGGAAATTTATAAAACTAAACGAAACAAAAAATACAGAAGGCAAGTGGGGGTGTGTGCCCAGGACAGGGCTCTCTGTAACATGGAGGAGACTCCGCTGTGCCCCAGACAGCCCAGAAGAGCTCCAAAGGTTCATCATCAAAGACCAGAAATGTCCCTGTCAGAGCTGTCACAACTGAGGACAGTCCCTATCGCGGCGCAGCGCTGTCCACGACTCAGCCTGCGACGGTCCCTACCAAAGCCCAGGCTGCCTGTGTCAGTTCCCAGAGCCGTTCCTGTTACAGCCCCAAACCGCCGGTCAGACTCCAGACCATCCTTGTCACAGCCAAGGCTGACTGCGCCACGTCTAGAAGGGCCTCTTTTCTTTTGTTTTTTAAAAATTATTTAATTCGAGGACCAGCAGTTGGCGTAATGGCTATGTCGCTGGACTCCTATGTAGTCAACAGCGGTTCGAGTCCCGGACCTCGTGGCTTAAACTCACGCCGGGTGTGTGCGTGCGTGCCCAAGATCCCAAGAGGAGAAGGGATTGCGGCGTGGCCATCCCCCCTGGGGGGTGATTTCTCGCTTTCTGTCTGTCTGTCTCTCTCTTTCTGGTGCGCGCACACGCCCTATAGCTAAAAACTTCTCCAAAAAAGAAAAAAATTATTTAATTTTATTTATTATTATTTTTAAATTTGAGAGAGAGAAAGCTAGCAAGCTGCCAGGTCTGGGACTCTAACTGCGGTCAGCCATGTGGGAGCCCAGTGCCTTAACCACCACACCACCCGCCAGCCCCTAGAACT